CCTGTAGTCAGAGGCTGGGCAGACACACACCTTGGGCCTGGTGGCTGTGGTTTTGTTCTGCTTTTCCCTATCCAGACAGCTCCACTATTCCGTGGTTAATTTCAACGCAGCAATGTGTTTCAATGTTAATCACCAGCCCTATGAATGGTATATCATGAACTCTGCAGAAGCAAGGTCATCCCAGAAATTTTTAAAAGACCATTAAAAAATTAGGACCTGCAGTATCTGAACTGCCCAAGCGAGAAAACAGAGACCCCGGGAGAGCGTAATCACTGATCTGAGGTTTCAGTAATTGCAGGGCAAGTGGGCCAGAAAGAACCGTTCAGACCTCCTGACCTGCGACCTTCTCTCAGAAGACTCCAATTAACCAAATACCATTAACACAGCTCGGTAAGGAGATGGCTGCTCGTCCAAATGTCCCAAGTTCTTCTCCTTTTAAACTTAGTGTCTTGACATCACTAATTAATATGACCTCAAATAACCAGCGAGACACTTAGAGCATCTCACAGGCAAACAGCTCTTTCTGTTATCTGAAAACATACAGACGGTCACCTGTCAGGCATTGTCATCACTCATCCCAAGAAATGGACTCACAAGTCAGAGTGAGGACTCGGGCTGCCTGTTCATCAAACATAAAACGCAACGTCTGTCTAACGAAAATGAAGGCAACAGAAGTGTCCGAATGTCATGCTCTGAGTTCTCACTAAGGCGCTCCAGTGGCACTGTGGTTAAGGTACTCAGCTGCTAACCAAAACGTCAGCAGATTGAACCCCCTAGCTGCTCTGCAGGACAAAGATGAGGCAGTCTGCTTCTGTAAAGATTGACAGCCTTGGCAACTCGCTGAGACAGTTAGTTCCCCTCTGTCCTCCAGGGGCGCTGAGTCGGAATCAACTCCATGGCTCTGGGTGATGCAACTGGAGTTCTCACTGGGAATTAACTGCCCCCAAAAACCCAGTGACCAACATTACCCTAGCTACTGCTTCCTCTTCCCATCACCTGCCTGACTTGAACCCTGATGGAGTCCAGTGTGAG